TTATTTACAATCAATAGATGTAGAGCTATATTATTCCCCTTCTAGAATAATGAAATCATATTGTATTTAGTCTACTCGCACAAATCAATTGAAGATCCTAGTAAAATTAACACTAATCGATTCAGATTGGCCATGAACCTCGTGATCAAACATACTTGCTTTGATTACATTGCTTAATTGCTTTGTTACAAATCATTTCGTGAACAATGGGACGATTTTGCTGCATTGCAAACATTGAAAATTTCTCTTATTTACCCGGTGATGGAAGTCTCCAAAATTATTATATGTTTACCAGCATTGAGAAATAAAGTCGGTAAAAAGGTATATAATGCCCCGAAAACAATTCGGGCATTAAATTAATAAAAATGCAATAAATTTGATAATTAATCTGTAAAAGCAGCATGTATTCTCATTATGCATACATCAACGTTTACATAATCACTTTAAAAAGTTACTCAAATGTGTTTTTCTTAGTGGGAAACAAATTTAAAGAGTAAAATATCTATTCCAGCTTCTAAAATTAGCTTAACTGTTAAGTCTTTCAACAGCCCACACATTAAAATTTCATTCCGCTTGAATGTTACTCGTCGTTAGAGTGTCGAGAAAAATTATTTTTAGATCAGTCGGAATATTTTTTCAGCAGACAAATCTGAGTTTTTATAGGTTAGTCATAAATCTGCTTTTGATGAATAGCTCTTATTTTGCTGTTTCGATTAAATTAATCTATTCACCTCCACTTCTTAATTCAGTAGCATACCCTTGTCTCGCACCCTTGATTGCAATAATTTAAAAACGGATATAAATTGTCAAAGGATTGAAACTTGCAATAAGAAACGGGAGTTTTGTCGTACAAACACTTTTTATTTCTTACCTTATGATCTTATGATGAGTTTAGGACTTCGTAGTCCAAGGTCAAGCTGATGCTCCGCCTTCGTTGTCCTCCGTTTCAGAGTCGTCACTACGCAGGTCACCCCGCCCTCGGATCCCGGATGTAATGTTGGAAGTGTTCCGTCTATTTGCCCTCCTCTGGGCAAACTGAAGCAGGATGTTGCTGCTTGTCACTTGCTGAGGGTAGTTTCCCATAACTGGACAATCCGGGATCTTGTTCAGAAACTTATCCAGTTGTCACTTGAAATTCGAAAGGATAAACTCCCCTCCTCTCAGCACCTTTGGTAAGGCGTTAAAAAGCCTCGGTCCTACCACAGACAGTGAGCCCTCACGAAGGGTCTGTACTTTGGCCGCGGTTAGGTTATTGAATGGGGGAATCCTGCACAGTCTCCCCCTCCTTTCGTTGCAATACGTCACAATTTTGGAGGTCTCACATTCAAAGTTGGGAGCCTCTCCAGTGTCTCTCTCCTCTCCAGTGAGTACAGTTCCAGGTGTTTAAGCCTTTCCCAGTAGTTCAGGTCAAGCTACCTCATGCCGTCGATCCTGTATGTGGAGGTCCGCTGCACTGCCTCCAGTATCCGCACCGCACCCGCCTTGAGCGGCACCCAAAGCTGACAGCAGAATTCAAGATTGGGGAGCACTAGGGCTCTGAAGAGTGTAATCAGTAGCGCTGCTTCTCTTGTTCGAAATACATCTACCAGATCCACCTCATCCTTTGTCTCCCTCGCGTAAATATTTCCTCAATGTGGTCATCGAACGCGGCTTCAGTACACATAAACACTCCGAGATCTCGAACTAGTTGCTTCTCTTCAATTTCTGTGCCATCCGATGGCAAGTAGCGGTGTGGCATCCCGATCTCTGTGCCAACTCTGTATCTCATCGACAGCTTGGACTCAATCGACAGCTTGGAATCTATTTGTAAGGAAGTTGTGGATCCACCCTAACAGGTTTTCTCCTACCGCCAACAGTCTCAGCTTTCCGAAGACCACCGCATGGTCAACTTTTTCAGAGGTTTTAGCAAAGTCCAGGTATACTACATCTACGCCAACTCCCTTCTTAAGACCTTAAGATCCCTCCAGGTAACATACCCAGATTGTTTAGGGACACACACCCAAGGCCATGCTGAAAGCACCACCTTTTGACGGCGACTATGCGCCGTCCATTAGCGACACCGAGACTTTAACTGAACTTCCCGGGGCTCGAACCCACGCCTAGCTCCTCCATCTCGGTGCCGCACTACCGTCGTCACTGCGCATACAGCGGCCCTATAACCACTGCGCTACAGTGACGCTACTCCTGCAGTATGGCCATAAAGCGGTGATATTATTCCAGTAACTGAGGCAAAAAGGAGCGATTTCGCCGGAAACCATGTTGTCCGTTATTATAAATCTCAGCCTCTTCCATGTACTGGACAAGCCTCTTGGCCACTACCTTCTCAAAAACCTTGATCACCTGTGAGGTCAAGGTCACCGGTCTGTAATTTTGAGGTCTATCCCTCGAGCTTTCTTTGTGGATCGGCGTTATCAGTCCCACTTTCAGGCCCTCAGGAATAATTCCCTCCGTCGTCGATACTTTCTAGAGCATTGTGAGCAGGGCCTTCAGAGTTCCAACACACTTCTTCAACGACACTACCAGAATTCCATCCGATCCTGGTGCTGAGAACGTCGTCAATTCTTTGATACTTATTTCCATATCCTTTGGCCCAAACTCAATGTTCTCCAACCCCCTTCCACCTGGCAGCTGCTGGAGAGCTTCGATTTCATTCTCCTCCCTTGAGTAGCGGGGGTTACTAAAGACAAATTAAAACTGCGATCCCAATAACTCACACATGCCATGGTTTGTGTGATAAATAAAAATAATTCTTGTGTGTTGATGACCCATTAGCAACACGATACAACATAATGCTTCAGAGTAAAACACATTTGAAAAATCATTGCAAAATTAGTAGAGATTTGTTAAAGATTTTAAGCCATACATTCAAACTCCAACAGATGTTACTCATTGAAACGCTTTAATAATACTTATGCAGTCTCTGTAAAATATTCGATGGATGAATATTCGACTTTGTCTGGAACTGATCCAATCGAATTTCCTTTGGGACTTTTAGAGAAGCTCGTCGGAGAGTTCGATGGCAGCCACGTCCTGCTTCTTCAAAGTCCACCGCAGGCAGGTGAGTCTCAATTACGATATTCGATTTTGTCGTGGAAATAGACAGAATAACATGTTCGATTTACGTAAATGGGTAAATTTAAATTTACGTAAATGAAGGAAAATAGTTTGTTCACTTTGGTCCTATTCTTGCTTGCGCTAATCGCGAAAAGTTGTCGAGGATCGTACTAGGTTGTGCAGTTTATTGATGGCATTTTTAGATTTAAATGAATTTTTTATTGATACAGCCTCATGTTTCATCGGATGGAGACTTAGTAAGAAGATTTGTACACTTTTTTATTGCGATACTACATAGCAATGGTATTTTGTTTTGGGCTGTTGCAGTGACGGGAAGGCCTCACTTTGCATGTTTTACATTTCAGAGCTACTGATATATCAAATAAAATTCTATAAGGAAAGCTGGCGGTCGTAAGGGGGAACGCAAATAATTCTAATCGAAGCTTGTGTGTCAAGTACTTCATAACACAAGAAAGACACGACGAAGAAAATAAAATTTGAAAAAATTCCATGATTAAGATATCGCTCTAATATTTGAGGCGACGTAAATGGCTTGCCCTATATATTGTTCGATGACATATAAGCAACACGATACAACGTAGGGCGTTGAAATAGTAATCCTGCCACAGAGGTGCCGTAAACTCGAAGCTTCAGAGATATGACCGACAATATGATGACATAAAAGAGAAAAAGATTATTTTCGTAGCGTGATTGCGCCAACTTGGTTTAGTAACAAATCTCGCGTTCGTGAGCTTAAGCCCCTTAACCGCATCCAATCAGCGTAAGCGCCCTCCGAAGTACAGTTATGGCAGAAAAAAGGAAAACATCAGTCTTGTCACCTTCCGCACAATCTCTTTTTAAGAAAATTGTGATGGAAGTCATGTTATTAGCGGCATCATTCAGCCAACGGTTGCCTCTCCGACAGAATAGATAAGAATTTCGATGAATGGCCTTACCCCCTCACCCCATTTTACACATTCTGGAGTCCGAATGTTACTGCTACTAGTATTTCAGGCGGCCCAAATTTTTTGGGCCGATTGAAATGTGCAAGCTTGTAAGTGTCAGTGGAGACAAATAAACGAAATAATGCCAGAGATGCGACCGAAGACAACGCGATAAATATTCATCAGCCTCATTAGAAATGAGACCCAGACATAAACACGCAGCGAACGCTCCCTTTGCTGTGCTGAATTAGTCTTAGCTCGGGCGAATTGCGGGAGAATAATAGAAAAAGACAATAGCATATTCATGGTGACATTTGGGGCAATGCCAACGAGGTATTAAGCAATGGTATTCGAATCAATTAGCTATCAGATGTGATATCAAGACATTTACTTTTTTTCGGGCACTCTCCTGTTTTGTATGCTGAGCACAAAACACATTCGTTCTTGCGCAGTGAAACGCAAGAGAATACTATTATCATGAGAATTTTTATCGAATTAGCTTAATTCTGTTAATTTACACTATAAAGAACTGCTGCGAAAATGGACCGTCAGATTCCAGGTCGAGAATTATGGAAAGGAAAGATGACAAGCTAATTCATGATGACGAATTTCTACTATTGGCTGCATTTGTAACGTATCTGCAAGGAACATAAAAGCGGATTACAAAATTCACGTAAATTAACTAAAAATGAATGAATGACTTGAGAAGGAAACTCGAATTAATTTCAGTTGTTAGATCAGAACTTTACGAACGACTAATAACGCGATAGAAGATTTGAATTACAAGCATGCAGCTGAGCTTTTCACAATTATCTCATGGTTCTGCGCATGCCTTTAATATTTAATTTTCAGCGCCGTTACAGAACTTTCTACAGTCGAGAGTATTTTAGAATAAATTTATATCAATGAAAGTTGCATTACGAGTGGTGTGGGCACTAAACCTCCACACCCATCACGTGAAAATTCCTACATTGACCGTCAGTCATGATGCCCTTACAGGGGACGAGCGTGACCTGACTGCCACCCTGGCCGCCCTGTGGAGGTTGTCAGTTGACACTCGTCTCGACACGTGCGGGTCTCTGCTGCAGCAGAATCAGGTCCTCGCTCACTCCAAGCTCCTCGTGCTGGTCTATTGCAACTTTGCGGATACACTGGATTTCTTCACGCAAGTATGTCATGCAAAATTTTGTTAGGGATTTATTTAGTAAATATTTTAGAAGTAATCTTCATCTTAGAGTGGCACTTTTAATTTTGAAACTGGTAGGCTAATTCCTAATTGCTCGTTGAACTTTTTTTGAAACTCGTAAGCTTATTCTGAAACTGGTACATAGGCTAAAATTTCGTTGAACATTTTTTTGAAACTGGGAGGCTAATTGCTCGTTGATCTTCTTCATTTCTCCGCAGTTAAAAGGTAAACATCAACTTGAATCACAGTTCATCACTTGGCTTGTGCCCCTGAGAGACTCTGCTGATAAAATTCTTCTAGAGGCTAACTTGATCGAAGAACTACAGGTAATGAAAATGATTTTAGGAATCATAAAGTTTATTCTCAAATGGAATTATTAACTATTCGGGCATTTTATTTTGGACTTGCATAATATGAATTCCATAGCAGCAATGAATATCTTCGTAATTTTTATTTGAAAATTATTTAAATGAATACATAAATTTGCACCGTATTCAATATTTTGCTAATTCCACTTCTTGTGAAATAAAAAAATAATAAATAAATCATAAAAAGTTACCTCATAGAATGTCACTTCATGTATTCTATCTCATCTTATCTCCTCTTGCCACACAGGTGCTGGCTGTGCGTCAGCTTCCTGATAAAGTGCAAATTTTTCACTCGCAAACTCTCGTGGATGAGAGCATATCGTAAGTGTAAAATCATAGAATTTTTTAATATTTTTATTCTCTAATATAATTTCGATTTTATTATTCAGCCTACGACCTGGAGTCCCTGGTATTTTAGCTGAACTAGTCCGCCTGGAGTCTATATTTTTTACTTAAAATTAAAATTAGCACATTTTACATAAGCGTCCAAATATTGATGGTGAACCAGTTGTCTGATAAATTGAACGTTCATACGTGAATCGTACTCCTTTTAGGTTAATTGAAGTGGGATTCTGGAGAAAGCCGAAATGTGAAGCAAATATCCAGTCGGGATCAACACTACCCGTGCAACTTCCTATTAAAGGATTTCATTCAGTCATGAGTCGCCTAGTCAATCTCGAACATGCAAAATACCCAACCCGGCGCACCAGTGCTCCGACGGCTCATTCCTACAGTTCATCGGATCGTATTTACCAGAACCAAATGTCTGGTGATTTGGTTCTCAAATCTCCTGTCTTTGCAACCGAGCGAGATCTTCGCAAGCAAAACCTGCATGGTCGCACACTAACTGTCAGTGCGGTGGACAATTGGCCGTTCTTCAGCCTGGGACGCGACGATCTGCATGGCGGCTGCACCAAGTCTGGCATCGACTTTCGCATCACTGAAACCCTCGCAAGTCTCATGAACTTTACGTGAGTTATGTCATTATTTGTTTATTTTGTTTCCTTCAACTGAAAAACCTTTATTCGATGATACTTCTTAATGTGAGAAATGTCTGGATAGGAAGTGAATTGTACATTTAACAACGTTCACTGCCAGCCAAACTCGATTCATCAGCCGGGGTTATCGTTCACTGTTGACAAATCATTAAAAGTAGAATTTGCACGTCTGCTTTGTTCTTCTTATACTTTCTGTTTTAGACGAGTTGATTGATACAAAAAAAATCGTGCCGACAATAGCTTATTCTCCGTTTATGTAATTGTACAATCGTGTAGTGGTTGTTTTTTAGAGCATTCTTGTTGTTTGTGCTTGTTTCGTTGCTTCATTCGTTTCTTAATTTAGGAGAAAATTGTGACGTTTTCGTCATGTCAGAGTTTGTGACAGTGATTTATATGGTGGCACAAATAAAAAAAACTGAATTTGCAGGACTCGAATTGTCACACCCGTTGACGGTCAATGGGGAGGACGTCTCCCGAACGGCAGCTGGACGGGCATGATCGGCATGGTCGAAAGACGAGAAGCGCATTTCGCGATCGACCAGATCACAATCACCGGTAACTTACAAATTCCGAAGGAGAAATGATTGTTTCGTTGAACTTGGTTTTTATCTCACTGCCATCATTCATGTTGAAAGATTCAAACTTGGCTTTCGAATTGTAGAAAAGCGTTCGAAAATTTTGGTATTATATTTTATTTTTCGGAATAATACGATTAAGATTTCAATGCAAAAAATGTCTTAATAATCATTCGTGAATCATAGGAAATCCTCTTTTAAAATGACTCATTTTCTTACAAAAAATTACCCATTTGTACAAGTGATATTGTTTTTGCTAATGTAATGACTGCAACCATATTTTCGCTAGGTGAGCGGGAGGCTGCTATTGACTTTACTCGCTTCTATTACTGCGAGTCATTGACGATTGTTTCGGAAGCCCGGGTGACGGCCAGACCGGTCTTCGCAGTCTTGTCACCCTTCAGTTCTCTTGTAAGAAATTCGCCCATACATTTACCCAGTTGAAAAAAAATTACATTCATCTGAAGTGCAATTTTTATTTTTTCATAAAAAATGTTTTTTTAGCAGCTGCATGGGAGAAACTAATAATATTCAAGTAATATTACCTGAAATTGTTCATAGGTGTGGCTGTTGCTGCTGGTGTTTTTCCTCCTGGCGGGTCCGACTATGAAGATATTTAGCGTTTGCCAGAAGCGCTTAGGGCTGCTCACGGAACCCAAACGTTCGTCCATGTCGGAGTTCAGTTTCTACGCGTTCCGTCTTGCGTTAATGCAGCACGACGGCTCGGCCAGCGTTCAAACTTCGTCGCTGAGACTCATTGCGTTGTTCTGGGGCTTCTTCTCGTTCATTATTGCAGGTTAGGAACGATTCTGCTATTATTTTCTGTTGAAAATTTTTGTTCAAAAGCTCTGAAAAAGAGGATGAACTGCGGAATTTATGCGCGCAAAATATATAAATACTATTTTACATAAAACTATACTGAAACCAATCATGGTGCGAAAGTTCACGAGATTAAAACTTATAAACTTTCCTCAGCATTGTACTCGGGCCGGCTGACTGCTGCGTTGGTGTCGCCGCCTCATCCGTGGTCCATCAACAGCCTGCAGGATCTGCTGACGGCGGTCACGAGATACGGCGTCCTGCCTGTCGTTACGGAAGGCACTTCTGAGCATGACCTCTTCGCCGTGAGTTCAATCGCGGTGCTGCTAGTGCGCCGAGTCATTAGTATTAATGTGCTTTGATTCATCGGGTAACGTTTCTTGCTCCTGCGGAGAAAATGAGTAATTAAGACTCATTACAACGGTGTACACTTTTCATGTCATGAATCGCTATGTTATTGCCAAACTCGCTTGCAGGACAAGACTTATTCTTGATCTGGCAATTGAAACATTTCTATAATATAATAATAATAATAATAATAATAATAATAGTAATAATAATAATAATAATAATAATAATAATAGTAATAATAATAATAATAATAATAATAATAATAATAGCGGTTTCAGCGTTTATTAGGCCGTAGGCCTGTCGCCGATTCTCAACATCACAGAACATTCACAGTATTTTGCGGTCTCGAACTCGCATCTCACTGCTACAATTCTCTGTGCTTAACCGCCCGGCCTCCTTGCCGATTCTGACCAGAAACTGGCGCACAGAGCTGGGATCGAACCCGCGCCTCTCTGCGCCAATCTTGGTACTCTGAACTGTAACCACTGGGCCACCCTGCCCCTATGGGCCACACTATAGAGCGAAATATGATGTACAATTTTTAATTATAACTTATTCAGCCCAATTAAAAATCTGAAGGTATAGATATTGCTCTTAAATTCACCGTTGATTGTTCTCTTGTGTACAGCTGTCTGCCGCTGCAGTGTACCGGGAGCTCTACGAGCATTTCACTGCCGAGAGTTTAGTCAAAAGCGAAGACGACGGATATGATAGAGTTAGTAACTTATTGACTGAAAATATTTGTTGTAACCATTGTACTATTATAGCAATTTGTTGTCATATTACAAAACGATTTAGGCATTTAATCTAATTTCTATCTTAATCGGTACGAGTCGATTGACCTTCTTATAAAAAACTTTCAACGAATTGAGATATTAGACCAAGATAAAAATTCACCAAAAATTCGAAATATATTAAATCTCCATGCTTTGTTAACTTGCTGATGCACAATAAAACACAAGAAGGGGCATTATCTTCAACTCCACCTTCAGATATTGTATAGCAAAGGAGCGTACATCGAAAGCATGGTGTCGGCGCGAACCCGGACTCTGGCGATGGGTGATCACAAGTTCAGTGTGTCGAGGGAAGCTTTCTCGTCCGAAAACTACGGTATCGCTGTCAGAAATGGGGCACCTTATATTATAGCCTTCAACACAGCGTAAGTCTTACGTCGAAGCTTATTTCGAGAAGATTGTATTCCTCGTAGCAAACTCTCACTGCAATTGTAATTCATTAATCATTTGTTGCTACGAACTCTAGAGCAAGTGATCCCAACACGTGAGAATCAGCTCTTCCAATTTCACACTCAATACAAATGCTCGAAATGGATAATTAAATGATCTCGGATATTAAATTGAGATTAAATCTTTCAAACTTCCAATACATATAATATTCATCTACAAATCCGTTCCAGGTTGGGTCGTCTTGTGGACTCTGGCCTCATTGGCAAGTGGGAGCGCGAGGCGGTGGCGAGCGTCACGCGGCAGTCCGCCCTGCAGGCGGCGACGGAGGAACTTCTCGTGTCCCTCAACCTGCATCATCTGCAGGGGGCGTTCGTGTTCTACGCCATGGGCATGGCATTAGCTCTAATTTGCTTCTTGATTGAGCGATATTGTTCAGCAGCTTTGAAACAAATACCTACAAAGAATAGTGTCATGTAACTGCTGCAGTAAGAAACAGAACAGCATTCGACAAAATTACGTTCATGCGTAGAATATTGTACACTCTCAACCACAGGAAATATGTATGCAACACGATCTTTCACCAGAATATTCTGAGTAAACTCGTAATCAAACGTTGTGTTAACGGAGTGAAGATGATTTATTTCGTGGGGTATACCTCAATTATTTAAGTTAATATAAGGATGATCTG